CCCCCCCCCCCCCCCCCCGCCCCCTCCTCAGCCCGCGCATCCAGCTCAACCGCCTTGACCCTCTCGCCGTTGTCCTCATCATACAACCACACATTCTCCGTCCCGCAAGGGAAGTAATTACGATTCGTGATGCCCTCAAACCCAGCAAACCCGTCCATGCAAACAATGTGGCACTCTTCCAGCTTTTGGAATTGCTCAAGCTGCTTCAACTCCCACTGAAAGAAATATTCCCCGTCGTTGTGGACAGCCCAGTACTCCTTGTCGAACTTGAGCCGTCTGATCTTGTTCCTCCATGTGTGGTGTTCTGGATATTCGGAAGGCGAGGTCAAGTAGTTTAGGTTGGTGTAGATGCCGATGGAGATGGTGTCTAAAAAGAAGTTTATCCAGACGTAGCGTTGGCTGCATATGGTGGTGCTTGATTGGAAGGCTTTTTCGTACAAGTAGGGCTTGCGGTTGCGCGTGTTGGTGCTGGTGCTGGTGCTGGTGTCAATGGCAGCAGTGAGGTGGTTATGAGACTCGCGACAGGCTTGTAAAGGCCCCGGGACGGCCGTGTGCGAGATGGGACTGGCACTCTTGGGTAAGAGAGGTTCTAGGATCACGACTTCGACTTCGCGGGGGTGAAGGGTGAATTCCCATATCAGGATGCGGAGCTCGAAGGGCAGCAGGGGAAAGGGGTGGAGGGTTAAGGTTGTTGGGGTTGTTATTGTACTCATCGTGGTCATGTTGATGGATTCTGTGTGGGCTACCTTGGGTATATTGTGTTTCGAACACCTCCCGCTTTGAAAAACGTGGACTTGTTTAGGAACACCGAGCAAGGTAAGTCCTTTGTGTAGGATGCAAATCCATGGATATTATAATTGACAAATCGACACATCAACATGCGCGTCGGCTCCGATCTCGGCGTGACTCAAGGTGGACGACGAGACTTCACTTTACCTACTGTGTAAGATGAGCTAGGTTGGAGGGAGTGTCCGGCCGAGGTACTTCCCGAAATCATCCTGGCCAAGCGTGTCGCTTTCCTGTGGTGGTCTTGAAGTTTGGTCGCGGGTTTAGCTGAATAGAAGGTCGAAAGAATGTTCCGTTGGAAGAAGTTGGATTATGATAAGGAAGGTAGGAGGTAAGAAGTGGGGGGGATCATGAAAGAGGAAGGTATGTAGGTATGTACCGTACGTTGGTGTCAGTGTTAGTTCGGTACTTGAGGCAGCGCTGACTGAATGCGGGCGGAGAAGTCTCGTGCTAACAGTGTCTTTAGGGTTGCATCATACGGCAGGCGCTACCCCAACAACCGATTTCCCGTGTTTGGAAGCCAGAAACTGCGGGCCTTCCTTCCCTCTTCTTCTCTGCAACCTTCATTCAAGTAAAACTTCACCACTTTGGTTGGTTCGACTTCAGTTGTCTTTGTATTCGGCTCATCTACACTACAATATTTCTAATGCATCTGGGTTCGGATCCTTCTTCCCAATTGATCCTTCGATTCCTCCAGTTACAACCATCTCTTCAGGTTGCCCAGCCCCCTTCCCATACACGACTGAAGAGCGGGCCAACATATCCGAAATACGTTGACCTAGCGTGCGGTGATGGCGGGCTTACGCGCATTATCTATATTAATCCAAGCCCTTCCCGTCACAGAACTTTTCGGTGAAACAACGTTATAGCCAGGTTGTCCGGACACGGTTAAATGAAACTACATCTATATGGTTTCACTGCGTTCGTTAGCCATGACTGGCCTATCCGATCGGCACTCCGGGCTCTATGGTAAGGAAATTTTCTCTCCCTTTTAGATGTTCGAACCCCCAATTAAGTCCGCCAGAAAGAGGAATTCGAATGCGTGCCCTGAGCTTGGCCGTTCTATGGAGTGACAAGTCGACCACATATTCACCTCTTACCACTCACTCATATATATCTCGACTATCTTCGTCGTCCTTTCTAATCCTGGGTCTCGTAGGGAATCCTGTCTCTTACAATGGGCGGCCACTGGGGCTGGGAAATGGCGGCGCTGCTCCTAAGTTGCTGCTCGCTTGTCGCTACCATCACCGTTCTGAAGTTATACGACGGCACCAACGTGAATTCCTGGAAGTTCTACCTCTCCTTGAGCACGACCCTCTCGATCTTATCCCAGGTCTCGCGCACCTCCACGGCATTTGCACTCACCTCATGCATTGGGCAGGCCAAATGGAACTGGTTTTCGAAGCGGGAAGACCACCTGACTACGTTTACCTGGTTCGATGCGGCGAGTAGAGGCCCCCTTGGGAGCGTAGCTTTGTTGTGGGAGCTCGGATTCAGGTGACTACTTTCCCCAACTATCCTCTCTAAAAGGCCGCCTTTAACAAGGAACTTCTAGTCGTTGGACAGCACTGGGCGCTCTAACTACCATATCACTGCTCGGTTATGATCCTGTTTTTCAAGCGATGGTCACCCGGTCAGGTGGCAATGAACCCATATCCGACACGGAAATGGGGTCATCAAGAACATCGCGCTTGCCCATTGCAGAGTCAGCGTATTTTGGGACAAGGGTCGTACCCTGACCTCATTCACATGCGCTTCGGCAAATTGTACCTATGAGGTGTTCGATTCTCTGGCTGTTTGCAGCGAGTGCACGATATCTCGGAACATATCATCAGCGAGCCTTACTCGGATGTCATCAGTGCTGAGCAAATTTTGTATGGATTAGGGAGGAAGACACCGGGGATTGAAGCAATTTGGTTGAATAACCCAAAGGGCAAACTGGTGCTGGAACGGCTTTCCAGTTTGGACAGTTTGTTTAGCCTGACCGCTGGGAAGGTGATCGCAGACCGTCGGGAAACCTTTTATTTTCGCGACGCCTTCACAACGTTCATCGTCTTCCAAATCCTCAAGCCCCCCAGGAATTACACATTACAAGTATCGGCTTGGAAGGACGAGCCACCGGAGGCATGGGAGTGCGGATTCTCCTTCTGTCTTAACCGGTACAACTCGACAGTCCAGGACGGCATTTTGTACGAGACGGTCCTCAATTCGACCAAGCAGACGTCACCAGAGTCTATGAGGGCTCACCCTCATATAAACGACAACCACATGAGAAACATTACCAACGGCACGGAGCAGTGGTACTTCTGGAGTTATCCAAGCAATTACTCCCTCTATAGCCCCTTAGGAGACGAACTTTCCGCCAACCTAACCCTTCCAAATCCCTCCAAACTGTGGGATTTTGCCCGCAGCTCTCTCGACCTACAAATACCCGATTCTTGGGAAACCCTCTCGTACGCGGGAAACTCCAGCTATTATCCGTACAGAAACGACTCCCGCACATTTTCGATCGGCGACTCCACCGTCCGCTCAACAATCTATTGGTTCCTCGACAAATACCGCATGTTCGTCGGCACGGCCCCGTGCCTCGCCTACAACGGCCTCAAATCCTACAACGACAACGACGTCATGGGCAAGTCCATAGCCCAGTCGACCAACATCACCGAGACGTTCGAGAACACAGCCAAGCGGATGACGGCCTTTATGCTCGAGATTCCCCAGACTGCCGATAACGAGCAGGTCTACGTCAACGGCCAGGCGTTTGTCTGGGTGGAACACATTCGCATACGCTGGCCGTTTGTCACATTTCCTGTTGCTGTCGCGGTCGCCGGGTTGGTCTTCGTCCTGCTGACGACGTGAGAGAACAAGAGGCTTGGGTTTCGGGCTTGGAAGGACGGGGCCTTGCCTGTGCTTATTCATGGCCTTAATCCGTCCACAAGGACGAAGCTAAGGAATGCGGACAGTGAGGGAGTGGCAAACAAGGTCTCGGAACAAACCGTTGTTACCTTGAGCATGGACTCAGCTGATGGGAGTTTTGAGCTGAAGGAGTCCAAGGAGTCGGCTTCGTCGACTGGTGCATTACTGGAGAGATATGCTTCTTCAAGCGAGACGCTCACGAACCGATACAGAGACGAGCGGGAGGGGATGTGATGTGATTTTGAAAAATCCGGGTGGTGAGGATGGCGCCCCGACATAACCGAAGGACGTGACTGAAAAAATAAAGCAAAAAAGGGGGTGGGTGTAAGACCAATGTTTTCGGAGTAAGGTGAATGACTATAAGGAACAAACAGAGACAAAAAATGCAGAAAACAAACATACAACACCAAGTCAGTTCTTCTCAAATAATACTGGATGATTGAGCAACGAGGACTATCACGTACTTCCTATACAGTTCAAAGACACTTCTGTAGTTCTGTTTGTAGACCTCTGTCTGCCTCTCTCTCCGTCTGTCTATCAGCCAGTCTGCTCTCCCTGAAGATCAATATCCTTTTTCTGACTGACTGACTGACTGATCCTCTCCTCTCCTCTCTTCTGCCCCCATCCATCATCATCTATCGCTTGCGTCCCTTTGATGTGTTTAGTTGAATTTATTTTATGCTCTTTTCCCTCTTGCCCATGTCCCAATATCCCCATTTCCTCTTCCCATTTCCTCTTCCCATTTCCTCTCCTCATTTCCTCTCCTCATTTCCTCTCCTCATTTCCTCTCCTCATTTCCTCTCCTCATTTCCTCTCCCCCATTCCTCTCCCCCTCTTCCTCTTCCCTTTCCCTCCAATGTAGAAGTCCGTGCCAACCACATCCGCGTCCGCCCCACCGCCCCAACATCCCTCCCCTCCTTCCCCCTTTTCAGTTACATTCATTCCCATCCCACGCCTGCCACGCTGAGGCAAGGAACGCCTGGTATATGGGATCTTCTACAGGTAGCTGCGGCTGCGGCAAAGATGATGATGATGGTGATGATGATGGTCCCGCTACTGCCGTTCCCGATTGCTGTTGCTGTTGCTGTTGCTGTTGCTGGCGATTCAGAATCTTGTTAGTAGAAATGAACTCAAAAATCAAATAAATGGCCCGAATGAGCTCGGAGCAGAGTGTTAATTGAGAGAGAGAGGGAGGGGGGGGGGGTGGTTCTCTGTTAGGTAGGTTATGTATATTTTAGTGTCTTGTTGTTTGCTGTTGTTGTTTGTGGTGGTAGTGATTTAACTTGCGTTACTGTTACTATACGCGAACTTGATGCCAGCCATAAACTTGAATGGGCCGTCCCCGTGTCGCTTTTTCTGCGGAAAGGTTAGTGATTGTGATGCTAATGGGGAAGGAAGGGTGATGGGAGAGTTCATTGGTAGGTTTGATAGGTTTGCAAATGTATAGGTCGTAGAAGACGTAAGTTCTTGTGGTCAGTGTTCAACAATATTACTGCTTCAGTCATCGACAGAGATCAACAGGGGGGGAGGAAATAAAAGTGTTCAATGTCTGTATGTATGGGTGCGTGCGCGCCATTAATGGCTTGTCACGGTCCAGTCCAGCAGCTGCGGCTGTCCAAGTTCCCCAAGGGGAAAAATGAAGGTAAGTAAATAAAAGATATATGTTGGGCGTCAGTCAGGTGGTTGATCTCTTTGATATTGCAGTTGGTTTGGCCATAAATTAATTATACTCTGGAATTGTTATACCCCGACCCAGACTGATGAGCACCATGGTACAGGAGCGACGATGAACCACTGCTTACAGATGACGAGGCCTGGGTCGTTCTCTTCCGCGGCCCGTTGTCGTAGCCGCAAAGCATGAACATAAAGTGGTGGCGAGAGCCCGCGATGGTCTGTTGGTTGGGTGTCAAACAGTCAGTATCGTGAAGTATTTATTGAATGGAAAAGGCGGGAGCCCGTTGGAAAGGTAAAACGTACCATGCCACTAGACTCAGCATGGGTAACCAACAACTCGGGGTCATTGAGAAACATGGAGGCTATGCGACGCTTCTCGAGGACGTCGTAATCGACGTGGTGATTGGAGGCGGACATGCTGGAGAAAGCTTTGGCGTTGCCGGAGATTTCGACTCTGTTGATAGATGGTGACGTTAGCCTTTGTTGGTGTGTTGATCGGTGTGTTTCCTTTCTTTCTTTCTTGAGTATTTGAAGTCTTTGCCTTTGCCCGTGCTTTCTTTCCTGGTGTTGCCCACGCCTCCTGCCTTGAATGCCGTCGTCTTCATATCTGCAGGGACCCCCTCCATCTCTGCTGTAAGGCACCCTCCGCTTGCAAGTGTTCCTCCTGCAAGTCCTCCTCTCCTCCCGCTCCTCTCCTGCCTTAATCCGATACTGATGTTCTCCAACACCATCAACCACATCCCATTCCAAACCCTTAACCATCTGAACCGCAACCGCAACCCAACTCACAACAATAATCACAAGGGAAATCAAAATAAGTACTTACTTCCTCCTCACATTATTCCTCTCACCCCACGACAATCCACCACCCACCCCACCAGCACCACCAGCACCACCTCTCCCTGTCATCCCAGTCATCCCCATCCCCATGCCCCTTCCCATCCCCATCCCCATTCCCCTCCCAGAACCTACACCTACACCTCCTCCTCCTCCATTCCTCCCTGCAAACCCCGACCCCGACCCCGACCCGCCCAATCCCAACCTGTTTTCGATACCACCACCCTCAAAATCACTTTCCTCATCCGACCGCTCAGCATAAGGATCTTTTCCTCTGGCTTGCTTGTCGCGCATTTCGGGGGTGAAGCCGACGTTGGTGGTGCTACTGCTGGTGGTTGTGGTTGTGGTTGTGGTTGAGGGGTTGTGGTGGAGGATGGTGCCGAGGAGGTTCGTGCCATGAAGGTTGGATGTGCTGTTGTTGTGGGAGGAGTTGTGGGAGGAGTTGGTTGTTGAGCCGAAGGGTGAGTGGGTATCCATTGTTTTGTTGGCTTGCTTGCTTTCGAAGTAGAATGAGAATGAATTCAAAATGGTGGTGATGGATGACTGATGGGTGGCCGAGTGATGTCTGGTGGAAAAACAAGTGATGGGAATATGTTAACTGGTCGGTCAGAGGATGGCAATAGGTTGATGGATTAATTCGATTATTTAGGTGATGGTTGTTGAGAATGTGATGAATGGGAAAGGTATCCGTGTCCGTCGTCGTGGCGCGAGTTGGGGCGAGATATACAGTGGATTCGGCGTTCACTTCACTCTGTCGTTTCGTGAACGTTTTGAAGGGTTGACTTTCGAATTCGCGATCTGAATTGACGCTGATTCTAGTCCTCTTTCAGATGACGGGATGAGATGATAGACGTCGCGACTCGTGGTGAATTGCGCCGAGAGCCCCTCTCGTCCGTCGTGCGCTCGGTAGTTGTTAATGTGAACCTTGGGCGGTTTGGGCGCTTGCTGCTTGTTCGCTTTGCGCTCGCTGTCTCGGCGGACCGAATATTCTTGATGGGCTTCCGGAAATGCAGAGCTTGGCTTGAAATTCCTCGGTCGCTAGATGTTCTCAAGGACTTTCGATATCGTCGTCTTATATGTTCGTCTGATTAACAGGATGAGGTTTGTTCAGTGTCAAGATGAGCAAGCAGCGTAACGACGTCGTGACGAGGTGCCCTTTGCTTAATTAGTGGGGTTACCCTTTCTTGTCTTTGTACAAAATAATACAGCGACGCGCGACAATTGGTGCTACTTTGTGACCTTCCTATTTGTACAACCCATTCACATAAACTTCGATCCCATCTAAACATCACTTTCACCTTCACACCGGTAACTGAAACAAACCCATTGAAAGCCCATCTGCACCTACCCGCACCGCCACCATTCGTGATCCCCGCATTCACAAATGGGCACATACATGGTGAACGCAAACAGTTAATTCGTGAACAGACGGTAAAGGGGTGTTCTGGGATATGTCGCCTCAACATCTGACTGCTAGAACTAGGCCCCCTACAGAGATTGTGTTCTCTGATATCGTGCTCAAGTTAGGGCAGATACGGTCTGTGTTAACAATGCGCATTGTCATCGCCATTGCCCCGACATGTCATGTCTCAGCACCAATTGTACCAAAGTTGCAAGTCACGGATGACTGGTCACGTTTCGGTCTCATTCAAGTGTAAAGCTGTAGAATCAATTCCCAACGTATCTTGGAATCATTAATACAAGTAAGTGTGTATACATATCCAAATATGCAAATGTCTAGCTCACAAACGAACGAACAAATAAACCAGATCGCCAGATCACCATCCTTCATCGCGTGCATTCATGCTATTTCGTTTCGGGAAACCAAGCATTACCACTCATAAATCAGGTTGTTCCTGTCTCCGTCCATTGCCTCCTTAAATTGAGTTGTTTCAACAAGTCTCGGTCGTCCTCGTTGTGGCGCACTTCATTGAAACTTGATATCTTTGTTGCCTGAAGATGAAGAAAAAGTATTGTATAGCCTTAAAAGACGCCATCCGGTGTTCCAAAACCAAACGCCGTCCCGACGATAGAGAAAGGAAAATGATGTAGAGTGTTGTGTATTTAAAACCTGCCGGTAAAGCCTTTGAAAGCCTCCAGATCGCGTCATCCAGAAGTCATCAATTCCTTGAAGGGGATTGTCCCCTATCACCCGTGTCTTGGTAGACACTAAGTCGAAACTATTGTAAGCTCGCGGAGGGAACAGCAGGTCTGTCGGATGCGGATATTCACATCACCGGTGGGCGAAGGAGATATGCCGCGCTGGAATCGAATTGCGAATATCCACGCTACCAATATAAATGCTCCTCATTGTCGCCACCCGCTTCCATTCGGTTTCGCTCGCCTCTGGGCCATACCATAATAACAGGGGTGTTTAAGGGCAACAACCGGCCTCAGTATCCATGTTGCCTCCTTCAGATATGGTATGTTTATGGCAAACGTTTCGACCCAGATAGGGCCTACAGACCCCCCTCCTGTCTGCCAGCAACGGCTATAAATGTGCGCATTCTTTCCCTGCCGTAGCTCATAGCGGCCTCGGTTTGCGACTCTAACGCGCGACGTCTGAAGATTTCTATCCAATAATGACGAACGGCGTAGTGATGGCATCGTGGTTACCAGGTCGAAAACCACAATGGTCGCTGGAAAGACATGCCCATGTGATGCTAGCAAGCACAGTTGGCAGCAACCTTGGGCGGAGCGAGCAATTGAGGGCAAAGTGGCCCTTCTTCAACGCAGCGACTCAAGCGGGACTATGAACGCCATCTTGACGCCTAACAGCAAACTCGCCCCGCGTTTCGCACTTTTGGTGACATCGAGGTCACAAGAGCCGTCCCTAAGCTGCGCGGACCACCGCGGGGTGACGAGCTGGCCTCAGAGGGGGTATCCTGAGAGGGGGTATGTGAGGCCCGAGATGAGGTTGTGGGAACTCTGACTCGGCATATTAAAATTCGGGCCAGCGCGAGTTTCTTAAGGGCCATCTTTGCGTCGCGACTAGCGAAAATTGATGACAGCAAGCTGCAACACAGTTAGTCACAAGTCCACAAACCCAAATGAAGATTGTACGTACCCGACTATTCAAGCCATACACCAGCTTTCCTCCCTCTGCATCCCAGCCAAGGCAGGGTGCGAGGATCTCCTCCGCTTCGGCGCCTGTTTTGGGGCTCCTCCAACCCGGATGCGACTCCTTGTTCCAGCTGGCGTAGGGTACCGTCGGATCGTCGAGCTTCCACACCAAGACCTTGTCCGCGGTTGCTCCGGCAATATGAGTGCCATCAGGGGTCATCGCAATGTTAGCGATTTGGTCGGCCATCGTCATCGAGTACTTCGCCTTGTTTTCCGCGTTTCGTACGTTCCATATGCAGATGGCACCGTCTTCTCCACTGGACGCAAGCAATCTTTCATCTTTCTCCGGCTCACGGTCCAAGGGCTGCCATAAAAGTCCGGTGATGTTTCCGATATGGGCGCTGATAGACCGCCGTTGGCCCGCATGGTCCCAGATCTAATGGGTAGAGAGTTAGTAGAAGTTCACAGGCTGTTGTTTTCTTGTTTGTAGCATCCCCACTTACATGAATGACGCCCTTCTCAGTGGCAGTGGCAATAAGCCCTGTCTTCGCATCGTACTTGATCTGGCTGAAACTTTCGTCCTTGCCGGTGTTGAACTCTCTGCCAGGTTCGATGCCCTTCTCTCCGCAGCGCAGGGCGACCAGGCAATCGCCTCCACAAATGACAAACTCAGTTTCGCTAACCCAGCAAACATCCAGAACACTATCGTCGAGAGTGCGTTCAACGAGGTGAGAGGCAGAGTTTGCGGTCGACAGGGAGAACACGGTGACCATTATGCCGCGGCTATCGAGACTGACACCTAGAAGCAAGTCCTTGTTGGGGCTCCAACGCAACTTGATGACAGGAGGGTCGACGCCATCGAAGCGGTGGATAGGCGAGCCATTAACATCCCAGATGCTGACGCGGGACTTTCTGCCATGATCCACAGCCAGGGCAATAGCAGTACCGTCGGCGTTCCAAGCAAGTGACGAGACGGTGGACGACTTGAGCACGTCCTGCTCAGTGAGGCTGGAGAAGCTGGAGTCGAGGGTGAAAGGGGCCGTGTGATCGTCCACGTGACCTGCAGGGATGTCGGCCACTGGGGCGTCTCCACGCGAGACAGTCCAAAGACGGGCTAGCGCCTCGGTCCCGGCAACCGCCAAGATGGACGGGTTACTGGGGTTCCACTCGCAGAACAGCGCCAGCGGCGACGCAATAGGGTTTTCCGTCATCTGGTCCTGGCTTGTTGATAGTTCCGACTCGGTGCTCTCGTCGGCGCCCATGCGCAGGAATACTGTCGCCCGCGTGAGATCGAGCGGCTCTTCTGTCTGGGTGGCCTTCTCTGGGCCCTCGGTGCGTGGTGGTGGAGATGCGGCTTGCTCGCCCTCCAGGGGCGATGGGTAGGCGTGGTTGTTGTTGACATTGCTGCTACTCGAGTTGTTGTTACTGTTGTTGTCTGGGTGAGAGTCGATTTCCATGGGCGTAGTGGCCGTTTCCGCCCCGTTTCCGTTCTCGTTGCCATTGCTCAGCCTTTGTCGCTTCGCAGGCGTTCCGTTGCGCAATCCGTGATGTGGCCGCTCACTCCCGCGTTTTCGCGCATTTCCATTCTCGATCTCGGTCTCGGCCTCCGACTCATCTTCCTCCTCCATGTCCTCTCCCGACTCATTGGGTGCTGGTTCAAACTTGAGAGGCCCGAACACACCGCGGGCACTCTCGGCTGCTGCTTGCCCTTCACGAGTGTCCTGCTAAAGTGTCAGCCAAAAAACTTGGACCCCAGTACAGCGCTGCAGCCGCTGCAACCACAGGAGCCGAACCCCCCCGGGGGTGTCTGGGTGTGCCAGAGGCCAGCGCACCATGACGACGCCCGCCATCGAGGTAATGCCGAATTGAATCCGATGCAGCCTCTTGGAGAGCAGCGGGTCGGAACGCGAATTGCTAAGAAAAAGTGCGCGGCTATCGTACCTGGTTGTCTTGGGCGAATTTCCTCTGGTAGTCTTCATAGATGAGGCCCTTGTTCAACAAGGACACCAGCGCGTACGTGTGCACATGCTTTGCAAAGTCAAATTTCCTGTGGGGGGCCTGCACTCGCCATTCTTTCTGGAGTTTGGCGGCAGTGTCTCGATAATCTGTGGGACAAAAGACGGTGCGCGCGGTTAGTCTCACAAGGCGGGAAAACGGGAAATACCAACCGCCAAGGGCCATGCGCCTTGGAGGGATTCATGGGAAAAAAGACATACTTGACTCGAGCAGGTATCTGGAAGACGCAAGATGGCAGGTCCATCGTCAGTTACTTTGCCATGCCATGGATAGCTTCCAATCTAGGGAGGGAGAGTACGCTGAGTCTTGACACTTGACAAGCCGAGCAGCGCAGAGGGCGGCGGGGAGGGATGGATGGGCGAACCTCCAAACGAGATAGTTTACTCGGTCCGTGTCCAATAGTTCTTTCATCGTCGTCGTCGGTCACGGCAGGTTGCTGGGGCGGCGAGCGATTGGATGCAGGTTTGTGGGAACGGGGATGAAGGCGACAAATGTACTGCTGCTCGGCGCGGTCCAGGGAGACGGATCGTATCTACGACCAGGCGGCGGGGCGAAATGAGTGTCAAGCAGCGCGTTTTCAAGAATGCTGAATCTGTAGCTCGTGGTGTTTACGCTTGGAACGGCGACACTAAGGGTTGCTTTGCGGAGGGCGGACGGCAGGATAGGTAGGATGGGGAAAAAGGAAGGCTTCAAGATTGGCAGAACGGTGCCTTCGTAGATTTGTGGTAGATTTGGCTGGATTTGGCTTTGGCCTCTGGGACTGGACGGCGGGTAACGGGAGGGCCCCGGGCAGTGCGGATTTCCAGGTGTTCCACCGCAGCAGGGCCAGGCAGTGGGCAAGTGGGAGTGGGTGCCGTGGGTGCACTGTGGGTGGGCAGATGGGCGAGCTGCTGCTGCTGCTGCTGCTGCTAAAATGGAGGACAGGGAAGGTACCTCCACAAAGGTCACTGGTGGCCCTGCCCCGGTCCGGTCGTTGTTGCCCTGGCGGCCCTGGGCCTTGCTGCTGCTGGCGCGTTTAGGCGAGTGCTAAAATGCAGGCCGCGCGCTAGTCTTCTTTGGGATATGGAGAAATGGAACTGCGAGTGCCACACCCGCTTATCCAGACAGCAGACAGACACTTCGATTTCGACACTTGCAATTGAGGATGATTCTAGTGTGTCAAGTATCGCCACTTTATTGACCAACGTCATTTATGGCAGTTCAGGCACCAAGTAGTGTATCGAATGCATTTGTGCATTTACATATGTGAGTGCTTGTCTCTACTTCTGCGCCGGTGCATCTGCTGCGGCCGAGGAGGGTGGTGTCGATGAGGAATGCCCTTCATGTTGCTGTTATCGCCTCACCTCCTCTTGAACAACCAATACTTTGTATCCCTCATTTCAAGCCACATATGTATCGCGGGAAAAGGGGGTTCGGTATCCGACTCTTGGGGTACTTTATGTGATTAAACCGCTTCATGGCTACGTACGATAGCAAACTTAATCCCAGGTTTGCTTCTTTGATTTGTCGTTGTTCTTGATGGGTCTTTCATCCGATCATTTGAAGAAATGGGGATGGCAGTTGTTTTGCGTTTCATCGGCGGTCTTCTGGATCAGGCATAGGATGATCCATTTTAGGTTCTGGATGCCGGGGCAAGTCGAACATTGGGTTGGCCGGGATAAGGTATGGATTCAGTTCCGGGCGGTTGTGTGTCTTTCGTCCCGCAGCATCTGGATGCAGTGAGTGAGATGCAAGTCGCCATTCTCTGCCTTTGACCTGCCGGTAAACTCTTGCACATGTGCGCCGTTAACGAACTGCAAATGCGCATGAAACTTCATCCCACTGTTTTCATGGTTCGCGGGTGACAGTGCCCTTTGCCTCCGTTTGGGCTCCTGGCCTGGCTCCTAGATCCCTAGGCTCCTGGCCTGGCTCCTGGATCCCTAGGCTCCTGTTCGCGAGGGGACGATCCCTTCCATTCTCACATTGGCCCAACGTGTAACCAGCCATCAATCAGCCCGTGACAATGATCCATGCCGCAGACCCAAGTCTTGCACCCCACCGACCGACGGGAATGGCTTTCCACAGAGCACACGAGTCTGCTCCTCGAGCTCTCCATCTACCTTTCTATGCTGTACATGGGCTGCTGTGTTCTATTTGGCTCGATTTGCGCTTGATCCTTTAACCTTGGGTTGCTTCATCTCAAAATCCGAAGGGGTCCGGAGAAGCAGTGGTAGAAGTGGCAGTTGAACCCTTTTTGCTGTAGCGTGTTGCGGACCTGTTCCCGGAAGAACAAAGGAGTCATATATAGTGGCATGTACACTGCCAGCAGAAATGTGACGGCGTCCGGACTCCGGAGTGTGGTGATGTGCTTCTGGCATTCCATTTCTCAGTCCTTGTGAGTCCTGTCAATTGCCATCTATCGAATGGGCAACCAATCAGCACGGGCACTGGAAATGGTTGCTGCTGGGCAAGGGTGCCATGGCCCGGGGTCTTCGATCTCGAGCAGCCAGCACAACGATTGGCTGCAGCTTGGTTTTGACGTGCCTTTTTACAAAAACAGCCCCGATGGTTTGTTTCAGGGGTACAAGTACAAGCGTCCCGCCCTCACCCCCCACACGTTTTTGGGACGCTGCTGGTATCGAGACTGCGACCCTCTTTTTTTTCACTCAAGACCGAAGAGGCGAACGAACTGTGGCACGCGTGCTTTGTGCGGAGACGGTTCGAGCTGCAGAATGCAATGCCAGGGTTTGAAGTGCCTGGGGGCCATGTTTTCTCAAATGTTGCTGATGATAAGTATCATCTCTGTAGGGTGCTGCTCTTATGTCACAATGGCTTTTTTTTCTTTCTTTCTCCCCTGTCGACCTAACAAAGTCGAAGTAATCGTGTTTTTCGATGCCATTTGCTGCAAAGTTAAAGAGCTGACCCAAACGTGTTGGCCAAGCCTTCAGTCTGGGGCTGTGGAGACCAGGGACGAAGCCAAGTCGAGCAAGCCAGGGTTTGGGTTTTTGGGCCTTGGGATGGAGGATGGCTTTGAGAACTCGTCAACTCCTGACACTCCGTCGGATCTCCCAAGACGTGACGCATGTTGGAATTTTAGTCCCTCTCCTTTTGCTGACAAACAACAGAGGCCTTTTCAGAAAGGCTCTGTTTCCCATGGGAGCACATTATCGCATTGCAAGTTCATCACCAGCATGGCCCTATAACCGGAGTGCGCAAGCTCCTGCTGGAACTCCGTGCCGCTGTGGTTGTCTACCTTAGCTTTGCCGTAGAACAAACTGGGCGGAACAGCCCCTTGCATTCTTGGGACGTCGGCTGATGATGCGACAGTCCCAGACTCTCCTGACCAACCGACCGCTGGCTAAATCGAGGAGGGAAAGAGGGAAGGGGGAATCAAACTGGAAAGACAAGTCAAGACACCCATCTAGTGGCTCTTTGTACGTCTTAATGCTGTTCTCTTTGTCTTTGAAGAACGGGCCGGATCGTATCATGCCCTTTGGGCTCTTGTGACGGATGTTGCAGTGAGAATAGAAGTTCTTTGTCAATAGGTACGTACTGTCTGCAAAATGGAGCATCATGATGGCATGGATGGCATTGGGCAATCTCCATAAAGTGGAGCACGGTCCAAAGCTCAAAATGTGGCTCGTGACTTTCCGCATCCTCCAGTGACACATGATCGCTGGGTCGCCGTCTCCATCTTGACGCCTGAGGCAACAACTCCAGTTCGGCTCTAGAACCTTGCAGGCCAAGGCCACGGGACATTCCGTGACCAGACGGTCCCTACGAACAGACACGGACCCGCCTGGGCGCGACGGCCTGCAGCTTGACAGCTTCTGACAGCGACAGGTGACGGCCCCTCGAACCTGGAAGTCGGCGACACCTTAGCACAGCACCGGACCCGGGCGACCACGAACTCGACGATAATGCTCTGACGACGATACCCCCAAGATACCTTATAAGCGAAAGACCACTACACAGTAAATATAATCACCTGCAGCACCATGCCGCCCCGAATAAACCTCCCGCCCGTGACGCGCATCAGCCTCTTCGCCCTTGGCCTCCAGTCCGTCCTCAGCGCTGCCATCCGATACCGCCAGTGGACGGCGCACTCCGAGATCGTCATCCCATATCTCAACCTAATCCCCCAGCTGTCGCTCGTCTACCCGTGGACTTTTGTGACAACCACCCTCGTCGAGAGCAACATCTTCAACTTCACCATCGCAGCCCTGACCCTCTACCATGGCGGTCGTTACCTGGAGCGCGCCTGGTCCTCGCGCGAGCTTGCCAAATTCCTGCTCGTCACCTCCCTGATTCCAAATGCTCTCTGCTTTGCCACCTTGATCCTCTTCTTCACCTTTACCAGGAACGAGCGATGGACGTACGTATTGGATCCAAGCCAGCTAAGACCCGTTGCTGCTGAAATGGCTAACCTTTTGCTCTTCACAGACTCATGACCATCGCCGGCACGATACCACTCCAGATCTCCTTCCTCGTCGCTTTCAGCCAGCTTGTCCCCGCCCATACCGTCACCCTCTTCCGCGGTATCCTCTCGCTTCGCGTGCCCCGATTCCCGCTCCTCTACATTGGCGTTGTGACGGCCTTGTGCCTCACGCCCATGCTCACGAGCGTATCTTTCCTGCTTGCCGTCTACGGCTTCATCACAAGCTGGACCTACCTCCGATTTTACAAGGCCGTCTTCCCCGACCTCGACCAGTCCCAGACGAGCTCCCTCCGCGGTGACGCTAGTGAGACCTTTGCCTTTGCCGAGTTCTTCCCCGGTCCCGTCCGGCCCGTGGTCGCGGGCATCTCCGAGAACGTATTCAATGTGCTGGTGGCCATGCGCGTTTGCACGCCTTTTACCCAAGATCACATCTCAGCCGCTCGCGGCGACAACGCCTTTTCGCACCACAGCCACCAGCGCGGCGCGCCCGGCAGCGCAAGAGCCGAGGCCGAGCGCAGGAGAGCGCTGGCTCTCAAGGCACTCGATCAGCGCCTGCATGCTGCCACCGCCGGCGCCGCCGCTCGCGCTTCGAGTAACCCAGCCCCTTCAGCTGTTCAGCCCCCCGCTCCGTCGGCCACCGGCCCAACCGTCCAGACGCAACCGCAGGCGAATACACAACAGACCATGAAGGCGCCAACGGGCGAGGCGGGCTCTGGCTCCGATAATGACGGCAGCAGAAGCAGCTCTT